GATTTTTATACGTTGGAAATGAATACGATCTAAGTTGTAACTTGTGAGTTTTCCTTTTCCTTCAACTTCTGAAATGGTTTACTCGCAATATTTGCCACCGCCGGGATAAATTTGGAGACGGTGAGTAAAACTTGTCCCTCGTAACCTCCAATTATCGCATATGCTGTACTCAAGAAATATAATTGTTTTAAAACGTAATCTAAAAATAGAGATTTTTTTTCCTATTTGTTTAAGAAGTAATCAGCAGTAAAATTTTAATAATAGTGATGATAGAGATTCGTCTTCATCATCTTAGTTGAAGGATAGATATTAAGTTGACGAGTCTTTGTCCATTTCTAATATGATTTATAAAAAGTTAAATTTCAAAAATAATTTTCTATATTAAAACGATATTTTACCTATAGAAAATTATTTTTGAATAAATAAACGATAGGAATCTTACTAATGATCAAAATGGAATCAATTTATCAGTTAATTGACCAAAATGGGATCTAAATCAAAAGAAAAATTATTATTTTAGTTGTTATTATTTTGCCATCTAAGATTAAATATTAGCCCACACAAACTTTCAAGCTTCGATTTATGTTCCACCAATACTTTGGAGTGATGTTATTTATTGATTAAAAAAAGAAGTTGGGAGTTAAAAATTAAAATAACTATCTTAAAATTTTAAGGAGAAGCAAATAAATCTAGTGGCCGTTTTGAACTTTTAAGAGGTGGGGATGGGCTTAACACATACCGTATCAATATTCATGAATTCCATCTTAAAATCAATTGGTAATGGAAGAAGTAGTCTATTATAAACCTTGATAAAGTTTTTTTTTTCTTTCAATGTGAGATCCTTAATATTTCCCCTCAAGATCGTGGCTCTTCTAACTCATTGATCATGACCGAATCTTCTTTTCTTTTATTGGATGTTCTTTGCACTTTTGGATACTGATACCATGTGATAATTATGACATCCCTAATCAATTAGGATTTGAAATAAAAGAAAATAAAAAACAAAAAAGAATGAAAGATTTATAATTTTAATATTATAATTAGTGTAAAATGTTAGAGAGGGGAGTAGAAGAAGAGAGAAGATGTAAGAGGAGTTAGTTTGAAACTTGTAATGTTGGGACTATCCCACGTCAATAAAGTGGGTGAAATGAAGAGGTCAAGCTTTGGAGGCACAGTCAGCTGACCAGCATATCAGGCCTTAGTCTTCAAAGTTCTATTGATTCATTGATATGCATTCTTAGTCTTGATTTCTGCGACTAAATTTCACTCGTTAACACATACCATTAATTCAATTGTAGGATTATAATTAACATTTAAATGGATGAAACTAAAAGTCGTTAAAATTGACTAACTTGTGAATGAATGAATCTCACCATTTATTTAAATTTAATAGTGAAATGAATGAAACTAAAAATTGACTAACTTGGTGAGCTAAAATTTAAAAACGTAAATATTTTATAATATTAGTCAACATCTATCTATCCATCATTAAGATTTTGACACGTCGGGGTTAAATACATAAAAACAAGTATTTTGTCTTTTCTTAAAAAATGAAAGATTGAATATTGTGACTGTGTGAAGCTCGTTACTTCAATTGAGATAGTGGAAACTAATTTCATCTTTTTAGTTGGAAATTCAGCTTGCAAAAATAAAAAAAAAATAAAAAAATCCTTAAAGTCGGGACTAAAAGAAATATGTAAATAAATACTTCATTTCTCTCCTAAAATTATGGAGCAAAGGCACCACGAATATACGAACAATGGGAGAATATGAGATTTGACAAAATATAAAATTGAATATAGAAAAAAAAATTCTCTTAGAAATTCAACACGGATTTTCTACCAAATTTTCCACCTATCAAATAATAAACTAGAATTGTCACGATTTATAGGCAATTTGTATAACCATTAGGTGTTACAATTGGACACTAATAATTTTGACAGGTTAGGATTTATTAAGATTTATTAAGGCTTTTTTTTTTTTAAAATATTTGGCTCCTCATTAGTAAGGAAGAATCTTGTCCACACCACCATTAAATATTTGACAATTAAGAGATAGAAATGCAAAATCAAAAAATGTTTTTAAAGAATGATGAGTTGTTAAATATTAAATGGTGGTGGCSACAAGATTCCTCCTTAGCAGTTAGGAACCAAATATTTTCTTTTTTTTTTAACACCTAAAATTGAGCCTCTATTATTTGATAATGTTTATTGTTCCAAGAGAATGTCCAAAATGGGTGGAGAAGGCCGTGGAAATGGAAAAAATTTTGGTAGAACACCAAGGTAATTTTTTTTCCGATACATAACAAATAGAGGGTGGGATTGGACTTCTAGACGAGAGATAAAAGTGTTGATCACCGTTGAGTTAAACTCATGTTGACAATATTAACTCACTGTTTGCCACGTTAATATTATATTAAAAATTATTTATATTGTATTAAAAATTATTTATAGTCCATCCATATAAAAGAAATGTATTTATAAAATCAAAATATAAGGTGGATGAAGATAATAAATCCTTTATTAGTTTAGTATGGGAGAATCTTTAGCCTGACCATGAAAATTATTAGAAAACCTAATAAACCGCCTTCCAACGGTTTTTTGGTACAACGAAATTGGAAGGATTCGAACTCATGACCCCTACCCTACTCTCCTATGTTTCTGTTGCATGACATATTTAAATGCTTCAAATGCAGCGATGAAAGAGCATCAAGCAGCAAACAAAATCCATGATCTCTGTGTGTTGTCTAATTTGAACAGAACCGTGGCGCTGGCGCCAATCATGTTCGGTGGCCACCGCCGAAGGACCAGGACCAGGAACCATTGGAGGCCTCCGCTCCGGAAGACTCTGCTTTCGCCAACACCCGCATTGGCTGCAAAGAAACCCCACATCTTCAAGCCCCATCTGATGCTGTCTAGATCTGTTGTTATGTGTCAACCAATAAAATGGACTCTGTGAAAGTGGATTATTTTGTTTTGTTTTGTTGGTGTCTGTAACTTTGAAAAGATGAAAACAAAAAAAACTTGGCTTGTGTAATTGGAAATGAATGCAATCTGTTTATCTAAGTTGTGAGTTTTCCTTTTTCTTCTTCTTCCATTATTGTCATCAGCTGTTTATTTCATTCAGTCACAAATTTGTGGAGATAAAATCATTTCAGCATTTGTTTCTTACAATGATTTTAACAATTTCTCCTATTGATCTTTTGGATGGCAATTACTTTTCGTAAAGAAAACACCCCCTCTTCTGAGTACAATTCATCTTTAAGAGGAATTAGCACAATTTGCACCCCTATTTTTTATGCGTTATTCATTTTAGATATCTTCTCTGCAAATTTCAGAATCTAAAGGTGCAACACCTGCTTTTGGTTTTTAACTCCTAAAAGAAACAGAAATACATAAATAAGAGATGGCCTTCCATGACTGAGAATCCATGATCAGGAGGGGAGTTAAAAAAAGAGAAAAAAAAGGGGGAAAAAAAAGAGCTTCAGAGGGTTCGAGAAGAAGAGGAGAGGAGAGGAGGGAGCTTGAGAATCAGCAGCAGGACAATCTCATTTAATGTTGAGAAATTTCGGGGCTTGTTTAGTCACGTTCTTTATTGTTTACTGTTTGCTTTTTCTATTTTCCGTTTCTACTTTTTTTAAACAAAATGAGAATATATTTGATAACTATTTCTATTCATTGTCTTTTGAAAAAAGAAATAGAAACTAAAATAGGTTTAATAATTATTTCTTAGTTTTTTTAATACAACAACTCGTGGGTCCAGATTGAAACGCACGACTTCTTAACAAAAATATACATCTTTAATTAATGTTAGTTTATTTTTATTTTTAGTTAAAATAAAATTGAGTAAATATAATATAAAAATCTATAACATATATTCGGACAATATAATTCATTACAGAAAATATAATTTAAAACATAATTTTTTTAAAGTATAAGTTATTAGTTTTAAATAAAGAATCAAATTTCAAAATAATTTAAAAATAGGAAATTTTTGTTTAAGAAAATATAATAACTTAAAGAAAATATTTTCAAAATATTTTAAATTAAAAAATATAAAATATAAAAAAAGGAAAAAAAATCTTGAAGGGATGGAACACGGGAAGAACAAGTATCCGATAGTGCCACCAGTCCATAGTTTTACCATATTCAATTAAGCAATTGAATTTACGTTACCAAACGAAACCTTAAGATCTGTTTAGTAATGTTTTCATTTTTTGTTTGTTGTTGATGGTTTCCAAAATTTATTAAGAAACTTAAAAGTACTTTGCAATTAATTATGTTTATTTATTTTTCATTTTYTGGAATATTCCCAAAACTATATAGAAATTTTGGAACAATAAAAAATCATCATTGAATTGGTAAGTACGGGACCATGCAATTTTAATTTTCTTTATAGAAAACGAAGAATCTGCCTTGATCGATTTGTATGACAGGATATGAAATATTTATACACCAGAATTTGTACTTGTACGATACAGGAAAGAGCAGAATCATTGGTCAATGATTCTGCCAATAAAACAATGTAAATCATATGAAATCTGGGTCATAAGCACAAAGAAAGAATGAATCTTGCCATGGATGGAAAATAGCGAGGTGTGATATTGTTCCACTTTCATGTCCTAACAGCCAGTTCCAAACTTTGGTCTAAGTGGAGGTCGTGACTTATTTTTACTAATTGTTGGATTTGGAAATTTTGGATATCAGAGATAAAAACGAACAAGCAGCTCAATGTACTTGGTACTCGTGAAAATAGGATTAGAGGCATCACAAAACACAAGAGCTTGAGCTTAAAAACAGACCTATAGATCTCCCAACCTCTCACTTTTGCATGCAACTCATTTTCTTCAAGAAATCTACTTGCCATATCCTAAACATCAGTCCGAACAATTCTTGGAAACTAACGCCAAGTTCAAATCATTTTTAAGAAACAGACTTTGGACATTATCTAATCTACGCAAATTTGTAACTGAAATAAACAGCTGATGACAAATGGAAGAAGAAATTTGAAAAACTCAACTTAGATTGTATTCATTTCCCATCATATGACATCATGCACAACCCAGACATCTTTTCATCCTTTCGAAGTTACAGACACGCTGAAGAAGACACCAACAAAACACAGAGACACCATTTATTCAACACCATTCGTTGACACAGTAACAACTGATCCAAACATGGGCAGAGACAGCATCAGATGCACCAACAAGATTCTGTCTAACCAGAGATGTCAATGGACTTTATTTCAGGCTTCTTCTCTTCCATTTTAGGCACCGTCACAGTGAGAACTCCATTCTCCATGCTGGCCTTCACTTCCTCAACTTTGGCATTCTCCGGCAGCCTGAATCTCCTCATGAACTTTCCACTGCTCCGCTCGATTCTGTGCCACTTGTCGTTCTTCTCCTCCTGCTCTCTGCTTCTCTCTCCACTGATCTGCAGAACTCTTCCCTCTTCAACCTCCACTTTCACTTCCTCCTTTTTGATCCCTGGAAGATC